AAATTCAGTGAATACTGGGATGGTACCATCAGCATGGAAGACAGCAAATGTTACTGCAGTCTTCAAGAAAAGGGCACGTTCAGATCCTGCAAATTATCGCCCAGTGTCTCGTACCTCCGTTCCTTGTTAAGGTCTTGATCGTCTAGTCTTTAGTCATAATATGAAGCATCTTGATAGATATACACTGTACATGATGTAACATTCTAACTGATTGCCAACATGGTTTCCGGTCCAGAAGATAGACAGAAACTCAACTTACTACTACCTTGCATGACATGGGCAGATTAATTGACAAGCAAACAGTTGATGTAGCAGTGCTTGACTTCACGAAGTCTTTTGATAAAGTCCCGCATTATCTTCTGTTAAATATCAACACTACGGCATCGTAGGACCGTTGCATCAGTGGATTCAAAGTTTCCTGTCCGGACGCACACACAGGGTAGTTTTAGATGGTCAGGCTTCAGATCTTGTACCAGTAACATCTGGAGTTCCCCAAGGATCAGTGATTGGCCCGCTGTTATTCTTGTTGGACATAAACAATCTACCAGAGAACCTTGTTTCAGGTGGTATTGTGTGGATAAGGTCCAATTACAGCAAGACCTTCACCAACTAGAAAAGTGGCAATCCAGCTGGGGAGAGAAATTGAATCCATCCAAATGTTACACACTATCCATAGGCACCAGGGCACCGATCAGAACCATCTATGATTTTTGTGGTGAAAACATAAATGTAAGTAGTGTAAACAGCTTAAAATATCTTGGGATTCACAAATCATTTGTGATGGAGGACACACCTATCTGAAACCTGTAAGAAAGCTCAGAGGGTATTAATTATCCTGAGAAGGAATCTGGAGCTGCACTCCAAGGGTCAAACAAACGGCATACTTCACACTGGTTCGACCATTGCTGGAATATTCGTCATCTGCCTGGGATCCCCACTTGGTGTCCGACATCCAGTGTCTCGAACAGATTCAGAGACAAGCTGCTAGATTGATTTTTTTCAACAACTATAGTAGAACACCTGGCACTGTGACAAACATCAAGGAACTTGGTTGGTCGTCCCTTGAGACGTGGCGTAAAACCAACAGGTTATCCATGATATTCAAGATAATCAATAAGTTGGTTGATCAGTCTGATGGTATCCTCAGTCCAAATGGTAGAATCTCCAGGGGTCATGCAAAAAAAAATTTGGAAATCCATGCTCACACCAAGGGTTTTGGAACAACATGCTACAATCTGTCGTCAGTGCAACATCTGTGTCAACTTTCGAGGAGGCAGTGTGGCAAATTTTTTCATTTATGCGTTGGTTTAAATTTGCGTCAATCTCCCCACACAAGGCGCAAACCTAATACACTACAGTTGGTATGATGTGTCCTCTGGATGCTTTGCCAAATATATTGTACAGATCTATACAGATACAGAAAATGACCAAGGTCAAGTGTTTCTGTGTGGACTGACCGTGGTGTTTTGATCACAAGTAACATTAGAGTAGAGAGACCTTTGCAGAGTTCCAAAACTGTGAGGCACAGTATCAAACTCAAATAAACTTGAATAGATGGAACCACAAATTATAGGCTTACCATATTTTGGTTTTACATGTACATGTTGTAAATGAAGTCTGATTGAAGTTAATCAATTGGACCTTAACATATTATCGCTTAGACTCTAATATAAACCTTATCTCGTTAATTTAATAGATAATAAAATATTTCGCCAGGAATGTACCCCATTGCGGTTTTGTTGCCAAAGTGTATGAGCCTCCTAGAGAGTCCAGCATCAGCTCTCTACATGTACATGTACTGTAGCTGGCCGGTGGACATGTGCACTCCCTCACTGGTAGACATGTGGGTTCCACTCTGGTGAGTGGTCATGTCGGGCGTACTTCATGGCTGGAAGAACGTCAATCAGGCGGTCTGGACTTCCGTGCAGTGTTCCCGGCATGCACTTGACTAAACGGACCTGTCTTGTCTCGTATAATTAGCAAGTCAATTTCCACACATCAACACCCGGCAATTGTGCCATCTACAAATAAATATTAAACATTACAACTTCTAAAATTCTGTGCAAAAATTGCCATTCTGAAATCTCAAGTACAGTGTAACACAGTATTCGTGAGAGCAAAATTTGTCTCAAAACAATCCATGCATATCATTTGATGAACAAATCTCCTGAAAATTAACTTTAAAAAAAATCACCAAATGCCTCAAAATTAGATCAAAATTTTCTTCGATAATCAGTCACAAGGAGACAAAAAATGAATGCTTTTACTTCTCTTTTTATGGAACATGGATATCTCACGTGATATAAGCACAATACATCTTAGTCACCAGACTACTCTTTTGAGAAAACCAGGTTTCCTTAATACCATTGTTCGGGGTCCCCAATTGAATGCAGAAACAAACTCACACACAACAGGGAGAAAATCTACCTATTTACACTTACCTATTTCTGCAAAAGGAAAGGAAATAAAGAAACTGCAGAAAAATTTGAGAAAAGAAAAGGACTAAGTCTGGCGTCAGTTGTCACACTTGATATATGAAAGTCTTCATGAGCAGAAATCAAAGATTCCATTTTTACGGACCCTGTAGACCCAAGTGATATTATTCCTTTTGTTTGGGGAAAGGTCAATCTGCATTGTGAGGACTGTGACACAACAAACATCTAAGTAAAGAAGCACAGTACACTAACAATGAGCATCCATTGTTAGTGCACCATGCTTTTGTTAGATGTTCATAGTGTTAATATCAAAGCTCTCATGTAGAATACACCATTGGTGTGCAGTGGCATGGAGCTAACAGGCATGTTCCGGGTACCCGCCCATCGCTATCAAAACCTTGTTCCATTTTTTCGGGCCGGGCACCCATAAGTGTTCTTTATATTTTAAATTACCCAGGTACCTGGTACCAGTATTAACATAAAACGGGTACCTGGTTTCAAAATACCCGTAAATACACACCCCTAGTAATAGTATATGGTACATACTTGTATGTTAGCCTAAAACATACCAGTGCATACATGTGCATTGTACTTGCACTGATACCAGTCTGCTCTTCAGATGTTCATACATGTACCTACTGTCATGACTGTACATGTTTATACTGGGGGTAGGCTGGGCGTACGTGAACAGTACATGTACATATGTAATTTACCGTACCTGAGACCCCAAGTTATTTTGTCTGGAAGCATAAATGTATACATGTATACAGTGTGTTCTGTACAGATTTGTTATTAACCCTAACCCTACATAATACTACAAATTACTACTTGAAGTAAAATGTAGGACTGAGCGCTGTCGCTTGTAAAAGGACATGACCTGATTGTTCTCAGAAGCCATACAATACAATAGATAAGACAATGAACCATACAGTGCTGTGGCACTATAAATGCATGGCTTTATTGTTCTCTGTACAAGTTACAATGGAAGTAACCTAGCCAGAAGTAGTAATCTGTAGTGCTAGGTCCTTCAGGCTCAGGCTATTACTTAGTATTTTGTAGTACTGTGTAGTGTAAGCCAAACAATATGCTTGGTGGTTGGGGTTAATGAAACTTATACAATGTACGTCATGTATGCATTATTGCCAGGTACATGTATGCACACACTGAAGTGCGTAAACACCTTCAATCGTGGACTCCCTATTGTTCCTCTTTTGTTCGTAACGGTACTTTTTCGGAAGACCTCCCATATGTTTTGTGCACGTTTTCCAACCGTGGACTCTTCGCCAACCGTGGACCCTATTGTTACAGGTGCACTAGTGAAGGCGTTTACACACTCACCCTTACATACATGTATGTATACTTGTGGGGTATTTCCTTTGTTCTCATGCACAAAACTCCCACACAACACGGACAAAATTTTCAAATCACAATGGAAGGCACCCCACAAGGCCAGTTTTGATCCTTGTGGGATACTAAAGTGGTACCCCACAAGAATTTCATGAAATAGATATTTCAAATTTACTCAAAAAGGAGGAATTTTCAAGTGCCATTCATCTGTCGCAAATTGAAGTGTTTTACATAAGGGACATACGGTCGAAATGTCAACCCAGGAAACTGAATTTAATTGAAATGGCAGTACATGTGCCGAACAATACATGTATCGGTATGTCTTCTCAATTTTTAATTACTGGTACCGTAGTTATTGCCCAATGTTTTCTTGTGCTTTGTCAAGTTCGTAACTGTAGTAAGAGGTGACTCGTGGGTCACATTGGTTAATCAGTCACATTGAATAATTCTTCCTTCCTGTGCGTGCATCCTTCATGTCTGCCCACGCTCGGTCTGGACACTGATCACAAAGTCATGCTTGATAGGTGTATGCATACGTTTACATTGTTTCGCACAAATTGAATGAATTGTCAGAGAAAAATGTACTGGTCGGCGACAATAATCTACAGTTTTACCACTTTTGCCACCAAAGTCAGCAGTAAAAGTGTAAAAGCCCCCCTAAAGGAGTCATATGCAGCGAGGTATGAGG